TCCACTGGGCTCCTCCAGAATGGGCACTGAGGTCTGCTCTGGTATCTGGCCCATGTCTGGCTGGTTATTCTCACTGTGGGCCTCAGTTTCCCCAGTCTGCAGTGGGAGGACAGGTGCCCTGGAACAACAGCCTCAAACCCTGGCTCCACTTTGGGATGACCAGCAAGCTTTTTATTTCTCCTTTAATGAATGCAGGTTCTTGGCTCCAAGCTTACTAAGTCAGGGCCCCCAGGACTGTTGCCTGGACCCCTGAGGATCTGTGGGCCTCCCTGGAGATGCTGAGGCAGCCAGTGGGAACTCAGCCAAAGCACATTTGGGATCCACTGAATTTAATGGCCTTTAAGGTCCTTCTGTCATATGATGGTTTTTTTAAATATTTGATAATATTTAACAACACAAAATATAGGCACTTTTTAGAAAAGCAGAGAAGATAGAATTTTTTAAAGATTATTAAGCCAGAGATCCCTGTCCTTGGCTTCTGGGATTTTTGCTTTTGTTTACATAATTATAATCACATTACAAACAGAAATCTACATCTTTCACTCAAGATTATTTTATAGCATCTTCTCATGTTTTGTCTATTTTTAAATTATCGTTTTTAGAAGTAAGTGATATAATTAGAGGGCATCGTCCCCAGTTAAGCTGTCCTTCCCTGTTGGGTGTTTGTAGCTAAATGATTTGAACCTCTCACTTGTGGCAGAGCCGCTCACCTGGGGGATGTGTGTGCACAATGGGCCATCCATTCCTGACTCCGTGGGACCCTGACACCCACAAACTGCCCTGCTTTGCATTTATACCAGACACAGACCAGATCCCTGAGGCACGCACCTCTGTGCAAGGCCAGCAGGATGCGAAACCCTCACCCTTGCTCTGTGCGCTCTCCTGAGGACCCGGCCTCATTGCTGTTGATGGAACAGATTAATGGAGAGACTGATGGATCTGACCTGGAAAACATCTCCTGATCCTTCCTGATCACTTTTCATTTGCTATGGCTTGTTTGGCCTTTTTAAGGGATGCAATGAGCTTCGATCTTAATTGGTGAAATCTCGGGTCTGGGAAGCTCATTCATCGACCCAGTCACAAGCTTCCTCAGACTAAGTAACAAGCAGAAGACTCAGGCCTGGGCTTTGGGCCCAGGGGATGCCTAGGGTTTGATGGATCGGGCTTCACAGCTCTCACTAAATGTTTCCAGAAGCAGGAGAATCCAACTAAATGGCACATTTTTCAAGGGGAAAGCTGAGACTCAAAGAGGAAAAGACTTGTATAGGGGCTTGCATTGAGTGTGTGGCCAAGCTTGTTGGCCAGGTCTGGCTCCTGCCCTTGGCGCTACACCGAAATGCTTCTCCAGCTATCTGGCTGCTCCTCCAGGATGTTCCAGGAGCTCAGGATGACCTCACTCCTCCATGTTCCCCAAGCAAGTGCCTTGCTCACGCCAGTCTCATGCCCTTATGGCTGTCTGTCTTTCTCCTTCCTTCCTTCCCACCTGCCTGAAAATATCAGATAATCTACTGGATTCATGTGGATTAGTGGAGTGATGAGCCAGCCCACAACGGTTTCACCACCAGTGTGATAATGACTGTAGTGGGGCTGAGGGAGCATAGGAAGGACACCCATCCCCAGCACGCACAAGGTAGGGGCTTCCTAGAGCAGGTGACCTGTAAACAAAATCCTGACGACCAAGTAGGAATGAGTCAGGTGCTGTGTGAGGAGGAGATGAAGGTCATTCCCTCTTAACAGCTAGAATAGCATGTGCAAAGTCCTGTGGGTAAGAAAGCATATGGCTCACATGAGGGACTCAAGTCATTCTCTGTATCTGGGGCCCAAAGAATGCACAGGGGAGTGTGTTTGGGACTGGGGATGGGGTCACAGCAAGAGAAGAAGCAGAGAAAATGGGAAGGATATGGGTCCTAAAAGGCCTCAACCACATCTGGTAGTTAAAACACCCCAAGGGCGGTGAGGAGGGGCTCATCAGCTTATACCTGGAGTGCTTGTGACTGAAAACTAAAACATGGAGTGGAGACAGACGCCCAGGAGAGAATCATAGTTGGCCTCAGCCCAGACTGGGCTCTGGGGAAGGCAGGATTTCGCGGAAGATCTTACATGGAGAACCTCCTGCAAAGGACTGCAGCATTCTGTGGGGTTACTTCTCCTAGACTGTGCCCAAAGAACCCCAAAGCAGACAAAAAAAGCTACATAGATCAAATTGCTCAGCTTTCTCTGGCCACACACATAGGCCCACTGCTTCCCTGGGACAACCCAGCCAGCTTCGATTATGTAGACACCTCAGTGCCACTAGCAGGGCTGTGCAGCTCCGCCGAGGAGGGGAGGCTCCTGTCCTCTCCACTGCCAGGATGAAATTGGTGCACTTTTGATGAGGGCTAATTGAATTCTCTGTCTCTAAATTAATTATCTAATGCTAAAAAAGGAGAAACACTTTATGTTGTATTCGCCTTGTTATTTAAATAAAACAGACAATTGTGAAGTTTAGTCTTTAGAGGATATGGCCAATTTTTCTGTCACCTAAAAATCTACTGACTTAGGTACTAATTCACACTTTAAAATTGCATTTTACTGTTACTTGTTATTTCTCTGACCCAGAGGTGCCATCTTGTTCCATAACTGTGAGGGTCAGGACAATGCAAATTGTAAGTTCACATCTGGGGGCGCAGGCGGTGTGACGGAGTGGTGTCTCCCAGACCACCAGTGGGGCTCTATAAGCAGTAGGCTCTGCACTCGGGGAGGTTGAGGGGTCTACCTGGGCCCTGAAGGGGAAGATGCCTACTTCAATTGAATAACAGGGAAGGCCTCTGTGAGGTGCAGATGAAACCAGGAGGGGGCTGATTTTTTCAGTGGTTTTCACTGGCTGATGTCTCTGTTTTTCTGTTCCTAATTTGGCAGGCACCCAGCTGGGAGATGAAGTGGTGGAAAATGCCGCAATAAGTTTTGTGGGGAATAATCAGATCATGTCTGCAGGAGGACCTGCCCGGAAGGGACACTCCTGGGAGGCGCCCCAGGCAGCTGGGCAGGGCGTCAGCACAAGCGGACGACGCCTGTGGCAAGGCTTGCAGAAGAGGACCCAGTTGGCGTGGTGCTGTACCGACCATGTCCTGAGAGCCGACAGCATCCTTATCTCTGGGATCATAGCATCTCATTTATTAAAACCCAATGCCAGGGGCTTTCTCCCTCATAGCATCTCTTTATCAAAACTTCAGTGCCACGGACAAATGATTTTGTTTTATCAAGACAAACACTGGTCTAAGCGTTTGTGAGAGTTGTATTCAGAGACCACTGAAGGAACAGAGACTCTGACTTGAGCTTGGACTGGAGACAACAGCAGATGGTAGGACATGCTTCTGTGGAAGGTGTCAGAAAAACAGACCTGCAGGCCAAGTGAAAGCAGAAATGGGAGCTGCAAGGGCTTTCACCCCAAGCCAAGGTTCCATGGACTTTGGGAGTTTTCTTGTCACAGACTACAGGGTTCTCAGTTTTAAATGCAGAAGTCATGGGCTTTTCAGGCAGATGGTTTCTGGTGGTCTTCATTGTGATGACCAAGGGCATGCAGAGATGGCGTGACCACACTTGAGTGTAAAAGTCAGCTGCATTTCCAGCTTTGGTTTCACTCTATCAGATCATCCTTATATGAAAAAAGATGCCTGGGTGATCTCAGCTATTACCACCCTCCAAAAAATGACATCACTGGGTATTATCAATTATTCTTTTAAAAAATAATCTGCAGTTGTCACTAAGACTCTTCCAGCATCACTTCACAGGCCTGCAGTCCAGCTGGCATTTACCATCTGGATAATCTGGGAGCAGAAACGACAGGGAGAGAACAAGAGAAGTGTCTCTTTTGCATATTTTTCAATTTAAACCTCACCATAGTCTGGGAAGTAGATTTATTTATCTCTGGTTTTTAAGTGAAGAAGCTAAAAGGAGGGTGCTGTGGCCTGATGAGGTGTGCTGGCAGAATTCTAAGATCTTTCTCATTGACCTGCCCTGTATCCTTCTGTAGGGTAAGGTAAAAAGTGGTATCAGGCTTTTCTGCCCTCCTGCCATTAGGATTGATGATGGATCCTTGCGGTCCTGAATTCATGCCTGATGGCGGGCACCTGGAGTGGGGTGTGGGCCTAGGTAGATGGGATTCACCTGGACTCATACTGCACTTACAAGGGCGGCGTCATGGGGACGCCAGAAGAACCACGAGAGAAGCAGAGAGAACGCAAAAGAATGCTGGAGAGCCCAGAAAGAGTGAAGACTTGCTGGGGGCTGGGAGGCCTGCTAGCCTCCCGGCCCCCCCAGCACCCCTGCCTGACGTGTGCCTGGTAAATCCCAATTAAAGCCTGAAAAGCCACCGAGGGCTCCAGGACTCTCCTCCTTCACCAGTCTGCTCGGGTCATAGAGATCCTGCACTGTCCCCTCCTGCCCTTACACCTTCCTGCCCCTGAAGGTGGTAGGACTCTGAGTGTGCGGGGATGGCACTTTCATAATTAGGTCACACTATGTGGCCAGAGGACTGGACAGATGTAATTAAGGTTACTAATCAGCTGACTTTGAGTGAATCAAAGAAGAGAAACTATGAGGAAGGAGGGGTCCTGACATATCACCCTTAACATCTGCATGCAGAGGTCAGAGATGGATGAAATCAGAGGTGTTTTTTTTTTTTTTTAAGATTATTTATTTATACAAGCACTAGGTACAGTTAGAAGCATGGGAGGGTGAGAGAATTCACCAGAGTGGGGAGCAGAGCAGGCAGACAGACAGACAGACGAAGTACACTGCTGAGGGGAGCAGCGGGCGGCAGGAGAGGTCTGCGCGCCACGAGACCCTCGCCCGGCGGCCGGGGATTGAACTGGTGCTGCAGAGGCTGCGGGCAGCTTCACAACCCAGCGCTCAACTGCTGCGCCACCAGGGAGGCCCCAAAATCAGGTTTGAAGTGTGAGAGGTCAGCCGTGGAAGGGTCTCCTCTGCGGCTGTGAAGTTGGAGGCGCCCCTGTGAGAAGGGATGTGAGGCCTGTGGCATTGAAGCATTCATAGCCAACAGCCAGCACCTGAATGGAGCCTCCATCTGATTACCTCAGGGAACTGAATTCTGCCAACAGTCACCTGTGCTTTTGAAAGTTCTGCACCTTAGAAAGGGGTTGGACCCACGTGCCACTTGGTTGCAACCTTGTGAAACTCGGAGCACAGAACCCAGCTCAGCTGGGCCCACACTTCGGAACTGTGGAAGCTGGGAGGTAACAAATAGGGATTTTAAAGTGCTCTTGTGTTAACCGGTTACACCGCCATGGAAAACAAAACTCCAGGCCATCTGAACCTATAGCCGTGCCCTGGCTACAGCCGCTGCCTTCTGAGTCCTCCCCTTTGGTGGATAAAGTGAGGAGCGCCTGCCGGACGATGAATTCTGCTAGTGATTGTTGAGGGCCCTGGATTAGGCAGCAGGTTTCCAAGATGATGAGGACTAGACAGCATCGCTCAGGGGCTCGCTATAGGGTGGGGCAGCAAACAAGGGGCAGGTGCGGAGTCCGTGCGCATGCCTCCTGGCCCTGTGGGCATGGGGCTGTGAGGTTGCCTTCAGAGCCGCCTCTGAGGGAAAGCAGACTCTGGAGCTTGGGCGACTGAGTGGGAGGCCGTGGCTGGCAAGTGGGATGTGCTTCTGTGAAAGGCACCAAGACCTAACTGCATGCGGAGTAAAACCAAGCAGAGTCGGGAGTTTGCTCCAAGGGCTTCCATCTGCGCATGGGAGACTCCCGAGAGGCCCTGGGTGCCTTGTTATCACTCAGACTACGGTTCTCTGTGGTCAGTGCCCACGTCATGGGCTTTTTCAGCAGAACAGTTGCCTGGTGGTTTTCTTCCTCCTCTGGATCATGGTACCTGAGTCAGAGGAGCAAGGACGTCTGGAAATGGCGGGAATGCACTTGGCACCTGGGGACTGGCGTTCTCTGCAGGTTGCTGAGAAGAGAGAAGTGCTGCACATTCCCGTGATGTATGTAAGGTAAGATTACGTTTCATTTTCTTTAATATGCCTGTGTTAACCAACTGCATTTTGCCCGACTTTAGTGACTCAATCTTAGTTTAGTTCTACAAAGGACAAAATGGGAAAAGAACAGCATATTTTAGTTGCAATTAGGAGCCCATAGTATCTGGACAGGAAGGTTGGGAGATGCCGCTGGAAATGTGGAAGCAGCCAGAGAAGAGCCTTCCATGGCAGGATATGGCTGTCAGGCCCCATTGTGGGCTGTTAATATGCATTAACTTTCAGGCCCCACAACCTCACATGGCCACTCTTTGCTTGTTTCCTTTTATCTTCATTTAATCAGGGATTCATCCCACAAACATTTCTTGTGCCGCCATTCTTGCTAGACCCTGGGGATGGGGTGGGGTGGGGTGGGGCCGGAGCTGTAACGGGACTATGAAGCATTTGCAGGAGGAGCAGAAGGGAACTTGTTTTCTTCTGGGATGTGAGAGAGGAAGGGGCTAGAAACACCAAAGGCTTCTCTTCCCAAAATGCTGGGGAGTTCTCTGTGCTCAGAGACACTGTTGTTTCCAATAAGCAGCATCAGGCGTGAGCGGGGAAGAGTTTGCAGGTTACCAGAACCGTTCAGAGCTGTGCCCAGCTTAATTGGATGTTTAGGGCTGAAATGCCATGAATTCTTTGCCTTAATTGCATAATGGCTTCTTCATTAAAATTTGGCATGATGACATCATAGACAATACGATTTCAAGTGGCTTTTGGGAAAGGATTGTTTTCGTTCTACAGCAGATACCTCGTTTCTAGTCTCAAGATTAGAGTTTTCCAGGCTATTAGAAAAAGGAATAGAAAATGAGGGGTGGTGATGTGGGCTTGTTCTGTATCTTCATGTGGCGGTTTCCTGGGAATATGAGTCACTGCAGGCTGCCATTACAGAATGCTGTTGACTGGGCCCTTAACAACAGAAAGTTATAATCGCATAGTCCTGGGGCCTTGTAGTGCCAGGACAGCAACAAGCAGGTTCTCTATGGACACTGGAAGATGGGTAAAGGAGGAATCCTGGAGCCCTCTGTGGTTTTTCAGGCTTTTAATGATCTTCCCACACCATTTGTAGTGAGGCAACCAATGCAGGGCGGGCAGGGGGCCCTGGGGGCCAGGAGGCTGGCAGGCCTCCCAGCTCCTAGCGGATGGATACTCTTTCTGGGTTCTCTGGCATCCCCTCGTGGTCTCTTCGCTGGTCTCTACTGCTCTCTGCCATACTGTCCTCCGCCCTGCCCCCCCCACCCCCTCCCACATCCTCTTCCAAGGTGCTCTGTGGTCTGCTCCGTGGTCCATTCTCTGTGCGCCTCTGTGACGCTGCCCTGATATGCTTAGTCTCTCAGCTCATGTGTGCCCGCTCACACATGCCCACACCACACTCCAGGTGCCGCCATCAGGCACACTTGTAACACCACAGGTGTCAATCACTGATGTTAATTGTGGGAGGACAAAAGAAGCCCGTTCACTGCCTTTTACCCTACAGGCCTGCAAGACTGAGATCAGGTTTCAGCTGCAGCGGCTTCCAATGGGAGCCAACTCCTCATTGCATACACATGGCAGAGAGGGAGGGAGCACAAGCTTGTGCTCCTGTCCTATCTTCTTATAAAGGCAATGGTCATATTTTACCAGCCCCCCACTCACTGCCCTGTGAGCTATTTTAGCCTTAGTTAACCCTCTCCCATCTCCAGTGCAGTCACAGCAAAGGTCAGGGCAGTGATCAGGCCTTCAGCTTTGAATCTTGTTTGAACACAGTTCAGTCTGGTGGCGGCGGTGGCGGTGGCGGTGGTGGGTGTGTACACGCGCGAGTCTCCTCGGTTATCATCACAGCAAGGGGCCCACTGTGTTCCAGTCATAATGAGTTGAAATGCACTGTGTATTTTCCTATTTTGACTTGTGTTCCACTTAGGAAAAGAAGGAATATATTTTAGTGGCCTCCCTAGTGGCCTTGGGGTTAGTCTCAGTGCTCTCACCACTATGGCTTGAGTTCCATCCCTGCCAGGGAGCTACCCACATGGCACAGTAGACCTCTCCTGTCTTGCCCGCTACTGTCCTCAGTGGTGTATTTCAGTCAGTCTGCCTGTTCTGTTCCCTACTCTTGTCTTTGGTGAATCCTCACCCCAGCCCCTGCATCTCTGGCCTGCATCCCAGTTCTTCTATGCATAAAGTAATCTTTAAAATAAAAGAAGCAAATATATTTTAAATAGCAAGTATCTATGTCATTTAAGTAAAGCGACAAAGCCCACATCCATTTTCAGTGTGAATTTTTACAAACCTAAAACACAAGGTAGAATGGGTAGTAATGTTTCATAATGAAATGAACTGATAATACATAATAAATCCATAATTTTGAAAAAGCCTTACTTGAAAATTAGGTATTAAAGACACCAATTAAAAAATGCTAACCTTTTGCTATTAGAAAATTTACATCGCCCTGTATCTAGAGCATTATAAGATAATATAGTGTTTAAGTTTTCAATTATTAGGGAGGAAAAGTTCTCTCAGTTTATTGTACTTATTTTGACTTCTGTAAAGTTGTTTGACAAATCAGAACTTGGTCCTGTAGATTTAATACAAACTGAAAAAGAAAATATAGTCAAGTAGTCATTAGTATAGCTTCGAATTGAACATCTAAGGCCACACATTGCTCCAGGAACCACAGGAACATGAAATAGCCCCCACTGATGAGGTAACCCTCAGTACCCCACCTGCTTTGGGGCTCTCCGGGCCCAAATAAAATGCACACTTTTGAGAAACTGATTCCTTTTATCGTTTCTCCTCCAGAATAAGGTATTCCCAGAAGGCCCTGGGAGAGGTATGCAATGGAGGAAGGGTCTCAGGTGCCCCCCTTTTCAACCATTGCCCCTAAAGCTGTCCTCCAGTGCACCAGGACCCCCACTGACTCTGAGCCCTTCCCAAGGGGCTCCATGCACCAGCAAGTCCTGCCCTGTTTGTGCCACTCCAGTACTGTGCACTACCACAGGCTCTGCAGACCAGGGTCATGTACTGGTGAATGGTAATGACATTGGCAGAAACGTTCTGCAGAGAATGTCTGAACCTCAAGGAGTCTTGATTCTTTTCATATCACCCCCCCTCTGAACTCTGGTTTGTCTGCCCTACCATACCAGGGAATTTTTCTAACCCCAAAATGGATCACATCACTTGGCTAATTATAGTCTTTCATTATTCTTACCATTATGCATTTCGAAATTACATCTCAAGTTTCTGCTGTTCTAAGCATTGGGCAAATAGGAATGAGTAAGATGTCATCTTACCTTTTAGAAATCTCTGTCTAGCAGAGGCAGATAAACCTGTAAATAGATAAATGTCACGGTGTTCTATAGGTGCTTTGATAGAAGTGATTATAGGATTTAGCAAAATCCAAAGGAAGGAGATAACAGGTCTTCCTGGGAAAAGCGGTTTCACAGAAAGAAAACGCTACCTTGAGCCAGGTGTTGAAATGATAGCATCCAGACACTCTTGGAAGAGGAATTGATGTTCAGCAAGGGCATGAGACATGCCCCCATTCTACTGATTAGAAAATTCAGAAAAGGTAAAAACTTACCATGACACTCATATTGCTAGTATGAGCTTCTACCAAATGTTATTTTAAAGATGTGGAGTACATCAGGAAGCAACTCCAAATGCAATTATAGGGCACCCCACTACTCAACATTGCAACTCATCTTTTCAAGGTTGTAGCAATATTGACCAGACCTACTATACACATGAAATTTTGGGGAAATACAGAAATGAGTTATGCGATGCTGCCCTCAAAATATATCTTATATAAATTGGAAGAATATGATAACAAGCACAAACAATGATGTGGTGCTCTCAGTGTTGTAATTTTATTTTGGAAAAAAAAGATCATTGTTTTGTTTGTTTTATTTTCCTGATGACAAAGTGCAAACATTACAACAGAACCAAAGTCTTATTGACCTGGTACTTAGCACTTGACCAGGATTTTGATTTATATGTATTTCTGAACAAAATAAAATGAGCTCTGCCTCACAGGCAGTTGGGAGCTATTCTATTTGTAGCATGAGTTGTCATTCTGAGAAAGGTCAATCTTTGTAGTTGCGTTGCGTCTGCCATGTAGATTCCTTGTCCTGTTTCCTGAAGGGGAACCCCTGAATCTAGAAATAAGAATCACTACTCAATCTACTTTTATGCCAAGAAGATTTTCACATGGCTGCCTGAACATTTATATCTGGCTGCGAGAGGGAAAAGCGGTGATTAGATCTAGACAGACCATGTCAGCATCCCCACATGACACTGGTGTGTTGAATGAAGGTGAATCTTCTCATCTCAAGTCCTTCTATCCCCTGGGCCCTCCTGGGCTGGGCCAGGGTCAGTTCTGTCCTGGGTTATAAGACCAGTAACTTGGGTTCCACTTGGGTGGGGGAGAGGACAGGAACCTAGGAACAACTCTTGCTCACTAAAACCCACCAAAGTTTTCATCCCTACCCACTCCCCAAGTAAGCCACAAGACTATGGAAGCCCTGTTTGGCTTCGCAAAGGAAAATTCTAGGTTTTACAAATATTTGCATGTAAAAACTTCAGTGACCAAGAGCAGTTTCATTTCTTTTCTTTTTTTTTTAAAGATCTATTTATTTATTTTATACAAGAACCGGGGTACAGGCCAGAGATGCAGGGGGTGAGAGGATTCACCAGAGACAGAGCGGGGCAGAACAGGCAGACTGACGAAATACACTGCTGAGGGGAGCAGCGGGCGAGACAGGAGAGGGCTGCCTCGCCATGTGGGAATCTCCCTGCCCGGCCAGGAATTGAACCGGCGCTGCAGAGGCTGCGGACAGCTTCAAAGCACAGAACTTAACTGCTTGTGCCACCAGGGGAGGCCCACCAAGAGCAGTTTCTATTAGCTTTTTTTTTTTTTTATTGTGGGTCAAAGGCTGTAGAAACACATCTCACAATGCATGACTCTCCATGTGAGAAGGAATGTGCAGAGCAAAGCTAAGCGAGAG